GTCTGCAAGCGATGATAATAGCTCTTTGTAATCCATAGTTGCACAAGCTCCATAATTTCAAATCAAGTAGTAGAGTACTAAAGAGCTGCACTTTAAGTGCATGATTCATCTTCTGAGATTGACAAAGAGAAACGATGGCTGCAACAAGTTCTTCATCTCCCACACCATCACGGTTTCCAATGTCAAGAGAAGACAGAGTATGGAGAAGATAATTTAAGATTCTTGAGAGAATTTCAGGCCCTTTCGCACGACACAGCTCTTCATTATTACCTGGGTGTTGAAGAGCCAAGGAAATAATTCGGAATACTGGGGCAGCTAGTGTAGTTGTTGCTAAGGACAAAGGAAAATCTCCCTTTTCTGGTTCCAAGCTATCTTTATGCACATTGCTTACCACGAGAGGAAGTAAGGACATAGGCCCTCCATAAGCTAAAGCCCATAAAGATTCAACTGGTCGCATTCTTGTTGCAACATGGACTTGCCCAAGGACTTCAGCAGGTCTTCGTAAGATGCCTGAATCGTCACAAGAGCATAAGTTAGGAGAGAAGACCAACACATGCCATATGATTTAAGTTACCATATAAAGAAAGAAATTGCATATCTACTGTTAGTAACAGGAAGTAAATCATAAGAGAAATCAATGTTTGCTTATCAAATAAGGTAGTTCCAATTTAGGTGTCTTATAAATTTCATATGGCAACAGAATAAGATAGGGCACACAACTGCGGGACTCTAAATATTAGAAGAAAAAAAAAAAGAAACATGCACCAAGAATGGAAAGAGAAAAGAGGGAAAGTAAAAGAAGCAAATAATCATCTCCAACTCTGATATCTCCCAATGTGCACCTATTCTTCTTTGGTCCTAGTTTTTCCTCAACTTTAATTTTCATTTTCTTCATACTGGGGGAAAAAAGTTATCTAAAAAAGAAAAAAAAAATTGAGCAAAACCAGCATAAGAAGAACAGGGCCATAGTCTGAGACACCAGAATCTTCAGGTAAGAAATGTTGTTTAAAAGCTACCTAGTATCAAAATGTACTTCTGCTCATACCAGATTTAAGCATACTCAAAATATTTTGCCAGGCAAGAAGATGATTTACACACCTGCAGAGCCAGAAGGAGAAGCATCCGGACAGTATCGCCCACTAAGCAGACCAGGATGATAGAGTAAATGAATGCACCCTCCAATTTCTGCATCCAGAAGAGAACTTTCTTCTACCATATTCCGCACATGATCATTCATAGCCAGCCAAGGAAGTCCTGCTCCACTACCAAAAGAAGGCAACACATCCCCCCCTCTTGAGGCCAAACGTCCCATTCTCTCAGGACCAATTGGCTCTTTAAAGATATAGATAGGCCCCATCTCAGCAAACAGGGGACACTGTCGTCGACGACGCTGTAAACCAGCCATGGTAGGAGGAGGATTTGTACCAATGCAACAAAAGGCAAGTGGTTTGGAGATACGAGGGAACTCAAAAGGACGACTTTCATATAAAGATCCATCAATATATAATCTAAGCTCACTTTCTGCTTTTCCCAAAAGTCCCTGCTTGCATGTATGCTCCAATCCAATGAAATACCAGCACTGTGGCTTAAATGCGTGAGCAAAATGCAGAGAAGCCTTCCTACCCTTCCCACAACCACTCTCAACCACCAAAAACTGTGCATGGAAATATGCCTCTATGCCCTGATTATCAGCAGATAAAAAACTGAACAAACGCGGCATGTGTGCCGTGCCTTCACCAGCAAGTGCACTTGCGGCAGCTGCAGCTGACATTGCAGAGGATTTTCCTGACTTAGCAGCAGCAGCAGCAGCAATTGCAGCTGCAGCAGTTGCCGTGTTTAATGTGTCTGCAAATGATTCGATGTAGATCCATGTTGCGAATGCATAGCCACTGGTAAATGGCCAGCGGCTCTCACCTGGACCAAGCAGGCCAGAACTTTCACCATCAAACTCAAAAGTACATGCTGGTCCCCTTGATTCCTTTCCACCCATTGCCTTCTCTAATGCAAGCATTAAACGATTTGCCCAGATAGTTGTAAGTGTTTTAGTAATAACCTGAAACCAATAATGCAAATCAAGGACACTAAGAGAATGTCCTGCTAAGTACTGAATGCAGTAGCATAAAGGAGTTCCATTCCATTTCACACGACCAACTGAATCAACATCCTGGACAAAAATCTTCTCAGCTGATCGCAAAAGAACTCCTAATAAACCAGCCATAGAGCACATTGCTCTATTTCTTGTGCAAGACCGTAAAATAGCAAGCAATCCCCGAACCATTCGCATCCTAGGGGACATATAAATCTCAGTGTCACCTACACAAGGAAGCCAAGGAATAAGTTCACCTGCCACAGTGGCGGCACGAGAGTTTAGCATTACACTTGGAGGATTGCTGTCTTCATCCTCTTCAAAACTTTCAACTCCACCCATTGTGGCAAGAAGTGAATCAACAACCAAGAAAGCAATGCTCTCTGCATCCTCCCCACTTCCAAAACCCTCAACTCCACTTACAATATTCTTCAGCTTGTCCAAACTTTCAGGCTTTCCCATGATGGCAGAATCCACTAAATGTAATAACTCCGGAGACACATTTGGCATAACAGCTTTTGGCTTGACTTTTTTGGGGGAATCAATAGGAGAGTATCCAGATTCTGTGTAGAAACCAGAATTCAGATTAGCTGCAGAATGCGATTGCCTCAAGTAAAAATCTATTTCCCTTTCAGGCCCAGGGCTTGAAATAGAACGATCATGTTGTGGTTCAGTGACTGGGAAATAATCATGTTCCGTCCTATATGTATCAGATAAGTGTTCAGAGCCTTCTTCAATCCCACCAGATGAGTATCTCCCATAATCTGAATGGGATGATCGATTTGAATCCATGTGACCACCCCGAGATTCATCCACAGAGTTCTCTTGATCTTTCAAAGAAACCTGTTCAAAGTGGCCTTCATCCACAGTTGTAGTTCCAGAATTGATCCCTTCTGAAACTAGATTATCATTTTCTGTCTTGGCTTCAACACCATCTATATAGAGAAGATTTACTTGTTGAGATGTCCCTAACTTATCCTGTACAGCACTAGCTACATTAGATGTATCTACATTCCTACGATAAATCTCTCCAACCTCCTTCTTTTCTTCTTCTTCTTCCATTACACTATTGTTTTAAGAACCTAACAGATACTCGTTCAAATTGATTATTTGGAACCACCTGTTTAAAAGTTGGAGCAAATGGGATCACTTTAATACAAACCGAATAAACACTCAAAGCAACAGTTTCTTTTTACTTGGGAGAAACGGAAAAAGAAATGTGACATGAATAACAACAATAGCAACAAAACCATGAACAAACACAAAATTACCTTTTTAGCTCGAATTGATTAGATTCACCTAAGTTGCAAAAACTAGAACCCAACCACTATCAATTAAAAGCACCAGTAATCAGATATAACCAGCATTTGATCAATTAAAACTTTATGACACTGCAAAAAATTTGAACTTAACCAAAAGCAACAGAAAACACAATCAGGTTATCATTTCAAGGTTCCTATTCAGTGACATAAACTCGATTCAACTAGTTAGCAGATCCATATGAAAAGTCTCAGATCTCGTTCAAGCGGCATAAACATACAGAAATGTGTATGTGCGCATAAAACTAAAACTATGTGTATGATCGATTATATACCTATCCGACATGAATTTAACAAAGATCTCTCTCCCATTGACGAATAGATCGATTTCTAGAAGATCGATCACATGGACTAGAAGATGTATACCGCTATGAAAATGAATATGCAAATGTAAACAAGGAGATAGAAACCAATTCAAAGCGATTTTCAATAGAAATGTGTAGAGAAAATGCAGGTATCAAGTGGAACGGTGACTAATAATCGAATATTTGAACAAACCACAAAATTTGTAACGAAAAATGGGAGATACGACGAACTTACCTTTTAAAAAAAAAACGGATTCACGACAATTATTCGATGCAGAGAAAGAGAGGAGAGAGATCAAAAGAGCGAATAGAATGAGAGAAATTTTGAGAAGAAGAATCGGAGAAGACGAAAGAGGATGCGTGTTGGGCGCGAGAGAGGTGGTAGATAGCAACCAATGGTAATTTACGCCCTTCTCTGAAAGTTGCCTAGTCAAAAACGATGGAAGCACAAATGTGTTCGTGTTAAAATCCTTTGTCCAACGCATCGTTACTTACCTGTATAAAAATCTTATTGCTCGTTTTTTTCTTTTCGGATTATGCTTTGCCTTAACTTATAAGGGAAGAAATTTGAATTGAAATGTCCGGCTTAAATTTCAACATGGATATTATGGTATTATTCTAATTTTTTTAGAATTTTTTAACTTATATATTTTACTTAAACTTAAAAAATAAATTTTTTAAATTACATCAAATGCATTTAACCCAAATAATTTATTATATTTTTTCTCTATTTATAAAATAAAATCCAATTAAATCCGGATAAATTCATATTCATTTTCGCTTTAAAAATTAAGCCAGTCTCTAATAATAATATGAACATTAATCAATCGAAACAAATTTTATCTCCTTTTGGATAATGGTACCTATTGTTAAAATATATATCATAGGTTCAAGAAAATCCACAATCTTTGGATAATGGTACAAATTTTATTTTATTTTTTATAATTATTCATTTTCTGTTATCTTTTTTATTATTATAAATATATAAATTAAAAAATAAATTGAAAATTATGAAATCAACTAGGTTAACTTACAAAAGTTATGCATTATTTTTAAAAATTATGAGTTAGTCCATAACTTCTTTAACAAGTATTGAGAAATAGGGTCTACCGAATAAATAAAAAAAATCTATTTAGTAATTAAAATATAAATACGAGACTACTATTTACCATCAGGTACTTTTAAGCAATAAAAATATAAACAATTTATTGTTTATTTTGAATTTTATTTTATTGACTTAATAATAATTTATTTTTTTGGAATGAAGAACAATAATGTATATTTCAAGTGATGAATATACAATAGATTAATTCAACATATTCTATTTTAACACATTACGAAAAAAAAAAAAAAAGTATTAAGGTAATCAATAAATTTTTATAAATTGATTATAATTTTTCTAATGGTATTCTTAAGAGACTAAAAAGAGAGCTTAGCATCTAGTAAGTGTTAACATAATGGAAACTCATGGTAAACACTTTGGTGGGTATGTCAACTACATTTGGAAGGTTATGAGGAGCTATCTTAAATAGCTTAATTGACAATGTGGCTTGTGAAATATATATTTATAAAAATCACAAGTTGTTAAAAATATGTAAAGAAATTATGATTTAAGTTGTATACTTTCTTACACGATGAACATTTTTCTTATTATCTCAAGATAATTCTGATGAAATTAAAAATTTTAATTTTAAAGTATTTGTTGAGCGAAAATAAGAATAAAAATATAATTTTTTAATAAGTTTGGGCTAAATTATACTTAATTAATTTAAAAGATATTTGGAATTCAGAAACTTCAACATAAATATTATGACAAAATATGTTAAGAGATTATTAAATAATATATCATATTTACTCTCTATATTTTGCAAGTAAATTACTATCTTGCACATATTTTTGTAGATTGCATGGTTAAAAGGGAGACCAATTTACAAATGGAGTAACTCAAGCCACAATTAAGCAAACTCATGCAAAACCAAACTTATCCATTTTGTATGGAATCTTTAGCTAAGGTCGTTAATGGTTAACATCTTAACTAGGCTAAGTTGGACCTAACTTATTTTAGATGAGTTTAGATAAATTAATATTTCACCTATTTAATTTGAACTTACAATATTATGAGATATAAAATTAGATTTAGCAAAAAAAATTGATCTTATATTTAAATAACAAAAAAGAAAGTTCTTCACACAATTTTTTTTTAAATATTGAATAATGAATAAATTTATCATCTTAAAATATTAAAAAATAACTTATTAAAATAATATTTTAATAAGTAATAAAATAACTTTGTCAGAAATAAGTCAAATAAACTACAAAATTGATATGGTTCAAAATAAAATTTACTTTATGTTAATTTGACACTTCTGTCATATTCAAGTTCTTTATAAGGACGAAAACAATATGTGTATAGTAAAATTTATGTAAATACCATCTCTAGTTGCAATTTAAAGAAAGATAAAATTATTGAGCCAAAATTATATTTATATTATTTTTAAAATTACTAAATTGTCAAAAATTTTAAGATCGTAAATTGTATCATTTGAGACTAAAAATGATATTATCAATATTTGTATCGATATAGTAGCAAATATTGTAGTTTAATTGATAAAAAAAATTAGTGGTAAAAAATATATTTAAGATTTTGAGCAGTCGTAAATTTATTAAGAAATAAATAATTTATTTTTTGTATTTATTAAAAATTTTAATTTTTTCTATGGAGACCAATGGGTACATATATTTTCTTATAAATTTAAGATATTTTTATAATATCTATTTTGTGCTGATTTAAAAAATATAGAATTTAAAAAAAAAAAACTCAAAATAAAAAAGAAGTTAATTTGATTAAATTTAAAATTTTTTAAATAAAAATTCATATATTTTTAATAATTAAAATAATACTGAATCCTAATAATAACAAAATCTAATAATATCAAAAAATCTTACATCACAATTTCATATTTCAAGTTCGGTACAAAAAAGGCACAACATATCTTAAATTTAAACTCTTACATTATATAAAAATAAAAATGCCAATCATAGGGTAACCTAAACCTTAGTAGACAATAATGAAAAGTGCCAAGTTAATTTAATTTTTTTAAAAAAATACTATATACCCATTCGCGGACCCCATAAACAAGTAGACCACAACCCTCCCACTACGCCTCTGAGTTCATTTTGACTCGGTACAACTCGCTTTTGAATTATCCAACTTCACATGTGCCTGGTCCTCAAATTCAATCTGCACTTGTCATCAGATCAAAAGTGCTCCTGGGACAGCATCCATGGCGACGGCGACTCTCGTGCATCTAACGGTAATCGGGCTCTTGATCACCACAGCAGCAGCTGCCGTCCCCGCGACCTCATACGCTAATCACACTGTCGGAGATGTCGCCGGTTGGTTCTTCAACGTCAACACGAACGCCTCCGCCACTGGTTACTCCTCTTGGGCCGCCAACCAGACCTTCAATCTCGGAGATTATCTCAGTAAGCCATTATTAATTAAGCTCGTAAACTGTGTTTTCACATTTCAGTACAGATATACTTTCCTTATATTATAATAGCTAATTTTTGTTTTACTTCAGATTACGTTTTTCTTAATCTTGTTTTATGCACGATCTGCTCAGTTTTCAAAACGAACACCAACCAGTCGGTGATCCAAACCTACAACGAGGCGATTTACAAGAGTTGCATCATCGACGACGCACCAGATGATGAGTATTTCCAGTACGATGGAGGCAGCAGGGAGTTTGGTCAAGCATTGACCATAGCTGTGCCGTTGACGATTGAGGGACCTAACTACTATTTCTCCGACGCTGACGACGGCGTCCAGTGCCAGCACGGCATGGCCTTCGAGATTGTCGTCAACCGCGGCCTCGGCTTGCCACCTAGCCTCAACCAACCGCCGCCTCCGCCTTATATGGAGCCGCCAGGTCCGGATTCAGCTAAGTCCCCTCCTGTCACAATCGGAGGCGGATCTACATCGCCGAGTAACAGTGGTTTAAAAAGCAACATTAATCCAAACGCATTGATCTGCTTTCTGCTATTAACCCCTCTAGCTTTATCATTCTTTTAGTTTCAAGGAAAACGACGCGAATGGCATTTCGGGAAAATTTCTTGTTAGATTCGCAGTTTGGAGCTTGGCCGAGCTATTTTTGTGCAATCTGTTTTGTTAAGGGTTTAGCGGGAGTTTTAAGAAAGTTGAGAAATATTTACAAATGACAAAATTATTTTCTTGTGTACTTTCTTTATAATCAAATTTGGCTAGGCAATACTGGTTACACACCGATTTCCTTGCGGATTTGCTTGCAAACTGAAATAACACTTCATGATTGTCTTGACTTTTGAGTACATATTTTTTCTTGCCTTCGATTTATTTATACTGTGATTCAATTTGGAGGGCGATGACCATCTACATATCCATATACATATATATATATATTTCTCACTACAACTATGCATTTGTTAAAGTTCGCTGAGCTTGAAAATACAATAATGGTGTAGGTGAGAATCTAGTTTTATTGATTGGAGCCTGAAGGAGGGACATAGAAAAGGATTTGTTCAAGCTTCTTGCAAGAGTTGTTCCTGACTCCAACAATAGCAGGTAAGAATTTGGAGGCCAAGTCTCTGCCTCTGGGGCTCCTCCTCCGTGTTTGCCAGTGTAGCAGCTCGTTACAGGTACCAAGCACTGAATTTATTCTGCATTAAGAATACTCTGCACATGATTTAGACGATTTCAAGTTGAATTAGTCGCAAACTATTTGCAGATCAGTTGAAAGGAAAACAAGATCATATAGGGAATAAAAAATTGCGGGCAACTATTTGCAAGCAATTAGAACTAATGCATTTAACATATAGTGAATGGAACTGAGGAGAGGAAAGAATTTGTAACACCTAAATTATTATTATTTTTTGTATTATTTTTATTTTTGTATTTGAATTTTAGTTTAATATTTTATATATTTAATTTATAAGATTTTAATTTAATTTAATGAAAATAAAAATAATAATAATGATAAAATATGGTAAAATTATTTTTTGGACTTAATTGAAATTGATTTTGGACAAAAAAAGGGTGAAAATTTGGATTCTGGTGGTGTTTTTGAAAAGAAAATTGGAAACCAGGGGTCAAAATGCAATTTGAAAAAGTTGTGTCACGTCAGCAACCCTGGCCAACCAGGACATGCCGCGTGGCAAGGAAACGCTGACATGGGATGGGCCACGTGGGCGATCCGCGTGCGCGCGATCGGACGGCCCAGATCCGTTCCCGCACGCACGGATGACCCAGATCAAATGTGCGCACGGACGGCCCAAATCTCACGCGTACGGAGGGACCAGATTCAATCAGGTACGGACGACCCAGATTGCATCGCGATGGACAGTCCAGATTTAATCCCAAATAAATCGCGATCAGACGGTTTAGAGTTAATCTTGATGGACGGTTGAGATTAAAAGGCGAAGGGTATAAATAACCCTACCCACATCTGACCACAAAACCCTAGTCGCCAGTGCCTCGCTGGAGAAGAAGAACCAGATGCTGGAGGAGCCGGCCGCCGCCACCCGCCACCGCACCGGAGAATTTTTTGATCGCCAATTGAGGTAAATTTTCTCCCTCTGGCTCGTTTTTCGATGCTGAATCCGCCTATAACCAAATCGGAGCCAAACCACCGGCCAATCGGCCGGAAAACCCCGCCGAAGTCCAGCGGCGCCACCGCGGCTTACCTCTGTTTTTGCCTCCGATGAGGCCCTTCCCGGTCTCCGTTCGATGCAATTTTTATACCACTGTGATCACCGTTCTTTTCTCTACAGGTTGACCAGAGCAAAACATCAAAACGCGACTCACGCCGGAGAAGTCGCCGCACCCGAGAGCACCGCAGTCGGTAAGTCTCGTTTTTTCGTGATTTTTTGGCCTACCGAGGGCCCTAGGGTTGTTTTATTGCAGGGACCAATGCAAGTTTGGCCGAATTCGGTCGAAAACGGCCAACCCGAGGCGGATCGCCGCCGCAGGCGGCGGCGCCGTCGCCGGAGTACGGCGGAGCCACCGTGCCGGAATTTCGATATTGGCCGAAAGGGGCCCTAGGTCTGATTTGGGATTTTTTTGGGACACGTGCAGGTACCGGTAGTGCGTTTTAGTTTTCTAAAAAAAATTCAGAGAATTTAGGGACACCCCGTAGGCGCACCGTAGAGTCTATTTCAGACCCCGAAACAAGTAAGGATTTCTCACCCTGTTTCCTATCACGGTATTAAAACGCAATAAATAATAAAACGACATTTCATGAATTAATACATGTGTATAATTAATTAAGGTTACTAATGGAGCCCGAATTTGATGTATTTTCGGTCAGTTGTTGTTTGATCTATTTTTCAGGTTTAAATGCAGTATGATATTTGATGTAATTATTTTATGGTCTCGTATGCATGAATCATGGTTTCTTTTATTATGGTTTGTATTATGGTGAATCTGATACTGTGTTGTCTTGTTTGGTGTCAATTACTGGTTTACATGTTTGTGTATGATTGGATGATTGAGACCAAGGAAAAAGGGCAAAAAGGTTATGTGAATTGATAAGTGGATAATGTGGACAGCCTGTCTAGATATCCTGGGAGATGGTGGACGGACCGAGTCTGTAGGGAACCCTACCGAGAACGTGGTCTCTCATATCGGACGGGGTATGAAGACCTTATGTGTTTTGGCGCCCATACCGGACGGGGTATGGGGACGACCCGTTTCACCCTCATACCGGATGGGGTATGGGGACGACCCTGGAATCAGATTATTAATGTTAATGGTTCACGTGTAGCGGAGACCCCTTATGGATCCCCATGGATACTAGTAGGCTGGTAAAAGATGAAATTTATTGTCTGATTATTGAAGTGCAAAAGTAGGACATGTGTTCTGTTATAAAATGTATATGATTTTATGATGATTATTATGTTATTGTTTTCATATGTTATTTTCATGAATCTCACCGAGTTAAGTGAACAGTAAATGTTTTTATGTTAATAAATGAGTTTGTTATAAATTATGCTCCATTGGTCGTTTTTGTTTTCTACCGACCTTTACTTCTGTGACAGTGAGATAGTGTGATGTCTTTACTGAGTTAGTGTACTTCATTCCTTACTTAACCATTTCAGATCAGGAAGACGTGGTTCCCGAGCCCGTTCCGCAGGAAGACGGTGAGTTAGACGCCTAAGGATTTTATAGCTCTATTTATAGTTTTTATTTCGAGTATCTCTTTTAATTAGCTTATTCTTTCATGTTTTGAGTACGTTTTTTGCTATTGTGTAAGGAATGTTAATCAAAATTTTTATTACGCTTCCGCATTTAAGGTTTTTAATACATACATCTTCATTTAAATTCCGGAACCGTTACAGAATTCCAAAAAATTATGTCTCCCCCTTGGGAACAAAATATACATAAACTGTCTTTAATTCCAAAGTGAAGCAAGTAAGAAAGGTATATGTGTTGATCAACCTTTTTTTTTCTTCCGTGAACTTGGTTCTTCTAGTCGGTGGGAGGGACCTTGTGAAAGGAAAATGAGAAGACATTTTTTGTCCATCAGCTTCTCCCTTTCACTTGCAAATAGAGGAAGAATAGAATTGTGAAATTCCCTTTCCCCCTTTGCATCAATTCAGGATCATTGACTAAGAACCATCTTATTCCTTTAGTGTTTCATAGGGTTGATTTTGTTCATCCTAATGATCTATTCTCTTTTCTTTTAGAATTGTGATTATCTTTTTATATTGGTGGCACCCACTTAAGTTGAGGCCTCTTAATCATTCTTTTACTCGAGAAAAGATGAGAGCTTGCAAGTCTAATTCATTTATAAATTTAAACTAGGCTGAGAGCTTTATATATATATATATACATATATATATATATACATGTGGAAGAGAAAAAAAGAGAGAACAATCCTTGTCTATCAACCAGACAATTTCAAGTGATTGCAGAAACAAATGGATAACTGCCCAAATCACAATAGCATCTCAGGGGTTAATTTTCCATGCCCAATAATTTTCTTTAATTCCGTTCTAAGAAGTGATTCTTAGCATATCTTGAACTTCAGGTCATTTGTCTCTTTATAATTTAATTATGTATCTTAATTTTAATGACTTAATTGGAATTTCTGTTTAATTAACCACACACTTTTAACATTTTTATTATTTGATAACCGATAAATCATTTATTGGTAATTACTCACATTTGTAAATTTCAAGTCATATACTCAATTTCTTTATAGCTTATGAAAAAATGATTATATGTTAATAATAACAATGTAAAACGAAATGTTCATTAAACTAATTTTTATTATTTTATGATGAATTTTTTTTTATTAACAGATAAAAAATATTTCTTACAGATGAATTCAATAGATTTATTTTCTATTAAACATTTATGCACTTGTTATTACAACATCAGCTATACAAGTGATAAATTTTGTTGATTGGGTTCTAATAGATAATAATAGTTTTTTTTTTTTTAATACTGTATAAAAGGATATGAAATATCAATATTTCCTGGTGTATTCTCTTTTGTTATTAATTTTGATTTGATTTGAACGTTGGGCTGTTCTTCTCCATAAACACCTTTAATACTTTAATGATTATGTCTTTTTTCTGTTCAGAAGATCAGAAAACCGTAAGTAGAAAGAAAATAATGATAATAAAAATCAAATAATATCATATCTCTAACAGTTCAATGTATATTTTTTATGAGGTTGTTAGAACTATTTATAAAAATTATCACATTAAGTTTTGATATCTGACATTCTTTACAATTGGTTTTTAAATATCTTTTGTTATAATTTGCTATATAATATTTTAATTTGTTTTAAAAAATTAGTTTTTTTGTTGTTGCTATTTTATAATGACAAAATTAAAATTATTAGATTATACTTTGATGTTCTAAAAAATATTTTTAATTAATTAAATAAATTAATAACAATAAAAACTATGTATAGTATTATTATTAATTTGTTTATCATTAAATTATTTTTAAAATATACAAATATGAATTAAATATTTTAGTTTTTCTGTTAAAAAATAAAAAAACAAACTAAATATTTTAAATAAATAGAAAACGATAAATAATAACTGATAATAAAAAAATATTAAGAATTAATTATAATAAGTACCACACAGAGAGTAATTAAAAATTTTTGCACTACGATATATTTATATCAAGTTTATAATTTTGTTAACTTACTGGTCAAGTCCTCCGTACTAAGAGTCAGTGAGAGGTTGTTCTTAGGTTCGAAAAGTAAAAAAGAAAAAGAAAATGATTTTTTTTTTTTGGTCTTTACATTAAATTCAATATATTTGTATTGCACATATGAGATAATTGCAATATCTTTTAGTTTAGTAATTATAGAAGAATTGAGTTAGTTTTTGCACGCCAAAGACTAAAAAATTAACAAAGAAAAATTTGAAGTTCCAACGATAATTTACAAATCAATGCCCATTCACCAAATGAATTGAACTTAATGATTTAAATTGGAATCCGTCCATCTATCCAGACAAGGCGGGAGCGGAAGTAAAAACTCTTTTTGGATGACACGCCAAAACAAATAACGGACACAGACGTGTAATTAAAGCAGACCAGGGGAAATAGTAATTCATTGAATGCAGGAAAGCAGTGCTCTTCTACTCTCTTCTCTCTCTCTCTCTCTCTCTCTCTCTCTCTCCACCTAGTCTTCAATGGTTTTCTATTGAATTCATTTTCACCTTTTGTAATTTTCTTCTTTTCTTCCAATATCGTGGGGCATTGCCAATCCATTATCCAACATCGGTAGGGACATTTTGAAGCTGAAAATATCCATCGATTCGAATTCAACGCCTTTAGATAGAGTGAGAAACACACAGGTAATCGTGTGATAGAGAATATATATTATATTTATATAAGTGGCCGCTTCGTAATTACCGGTCGTTTTTGTTTCTTGTCGCATCTGATCTCCAAAAGTTTCCATTTCCTTCTCGTCTCTTTCTTTGCTTCTTCAATCTGCAATTTATCTGTATTACCTCTTTCCTTTTTTTTGTTGTAACTGTGTTTGTGATCTGTGTTAATATATGGCTCTGTGTGGTAATTGTGTGTTTATTTGGGGGATTTTTTGGAAATTCGGGGTTTCTTAAGGAATTTCTATTTGGATTCTAGGAAAATGGGGTTGATTTCCGGGATATTTTTGGGGACGGTGTTCGGGATCGCGTTGATGGCAGGGTGGCGGCGTATGATGAGGTACCGGAGCACTAAGCGAGTCGCCAAGGTATGATTATTTTTAAGAGTTTCTTTTGGTTGATTTTGGAGTTTTTATTTTGTTTTGATGGATAAACTGGAAATTTGGACTTGGTTTTGTAATGAGCTATGTGCTGTACTTGTTGGCATGTGGTTTTTTGAAATCATTGATTGCGCATAATTGTAAGTCAGCCACGAAATATACATGAGTCTTCACATGAAGTTGCTTATGGATTTGGAGAAGTCCTTGTTATAAGATTGATATGATGTGGCGGAGATGAAAGAAACATGTTATAATTTGAGCCTGTCAAATGAATATTACAACATATGATATATAGTTGATATTTCAAACTGTTACTGTGTATCAACTTCTTGAATCTTGAATAGTTATATGTACTCTAATTGCATGTGTTTTCCCCTGACAGGCTGTTGATATTAAACTCTTAGGGTCCCTCAGCAGAGATGATTTGAAGAAAATCTGTGGTGATAATTTTCCTGAATGGATATCTTTTCCGGTCTATGAGCAGGTTTTTAAGCTTGTTTTTGTACATTTGTACTGTCAACAATATGGTTGTACTATGTCCGTATTCCTATAGTGTAATTATCTGTTACAGGAATTACAGGAATTACAGAGTTCTTATTTTAGCAGCATAAACTTTGACAAAAATCAGAAACCTCTTATCTTCTTAATCAAAATTAAAAACTTTAGGAAGTCAGAAAGGTAGGTTATAGAGTGTCTTGCTTCTCAACATCAGTTTCTTACCAGCACTGAACTGTAATTTGTCTTATATTTTGTTTGGCTTCTATAGGTTAAATGGTTGAACAAACTTTTGAACAAATTATGGCCATTTGTTGCTGAGGTAAGCTTGCTTTTATGTCATATTATATCCTATATTTACCAGTAAGCTGCATATTGTATTTCACGTTATATGCAGATTGTTCATTGGTTAGAATGTAGTTAATTTTGAAGTTCTTTTAGTCAATTAAAAATTAGAGTGGAAATTATATTCTCTTAAATGTGAGTGAGAGGTTATTCCACTGAAAGCTTGGCAAAAAGGGAACCTTGTTGACATCTTGTTTAGTGATGATATTTTTTGTGAATATCCATTTCCAGGAAGATTGTTTTTGAACCACAAAGTGATGGTAACATTTACTTATGTTATATGATTAATATATTACCAGTTAGTTTTTTTCCCTCTTTCTTTCATCTTGTCCATCACCTTCAAGAAATGAGATGTATGGATGCAAAATAAGAAACTTGAAATTAAAACAAGAAAGAAGAAGATATAATAAAGGATAACAAGAACAAGAAAGGCTTTGTTTAATACTTTTTATTTTTTAAATATATATATCTATATGCGTGTGCTTATTCATTAAAGTATGTAAGAGTTGCACATATTGTGGAATAACAAACAAAATATATTTCTAAAAACAATAGTTTCTAGCTCTATTAGTATTTTACTATCATTCTCTTCAATGTTAACTAATTTGTATAGTTTTGTGAGTGAAGTGCCTATAAATTTAGAAAATGAAAACTAGAAAATGTTTATGTACTAAATGGAGCCTAAATTTCAGGGCTCCAATGGTGCATACGTGCTTTGCCCCCTTTAAATCTCAACATTGAGTTTGTTATCTATTTTCATTCTTAGGCAGCAACGATGGTGATCAAGGAATCCGTTGAACCTCTACTGGAAGAGTACAGACCTCCAGGAATTACTTCATTAAAGTTTAGCAAATTGTCTCTAGGCAATGTAGCACCAAAGATTGAAGGTATGTCTCTATATGAAATCCTTGCACTTCCTTTCTTTCTCTTTCTCCCTCTGCATGTTCTAATCCTCTATTTTATTCCATGGATGATCAGCAAACTTAGACAACAACTCCACTAAGTTGGATATCCTCACTCTAGAAGTCTGTGTTTATTAGAAGAAGTTAGTATGATAATGAAGCTTTTCATTGAAATACATCTTCCAAGTTCCCGAAGTGTGACACCTCATACTGATAAATACAGATATGCTATATACATGTATCAAACCAGTGTAAAATTTATCTCAAGCTATGATATCCTGTGAAATCTACTGCTGATAAATGGAGGCCCTTACTGCATTTAATGGCTCCATATAATCCCTGGCAGTGGATCTGTTGCAAGGACCATACTATGTTTCTTCTGTTAATTTTGCAGCGCAAGTGAATTTCTTGTTTTGTTTTCGTCTAGTTTTAATGTGATAATTCTACTTTCATAATTGCATTAACTTTACTAGAGTCGAGGGTGTGAAAGTTTTATTACCAGCATGGATCTTGTTATTGCAAAAATTAAGCTGCTAATCACGGGAGCACTAGGTAGTTTATATTTTTCGAACTTAATTTTGTGGTTCATTTGCATTCTGTAACTCATGTATTTCTCAAGCATGCACACAGTCATAATTACTTATTCATTCAGGTATTCGTGTTCAAAGTCTTAAGGAAGGTCAGATCACTATGGATATTGACTTCCGGTGGGGTGGTGATCCAAGCATCATTTTAGGTGTTGAAGCAGCCCTTGTTGCTTCAATACCGATCCAGGTTTGTACATCAAGAATCTGTAGGTTTTTAATTTGTAATAAAACATCCACTTAGGTTGTCTTAATGTATCAACTTATTCCCATTTGATTCCTATCATTAAGGTATTGCTGGTTTAGCATTGACATTTTGCTGTATTGTACAGTTGAAGGATCTACAAGTTTTCACTGTTGTTCGTGTTATTTTCCAACTTGCTGAAGAGATTCCTTGTATTTCTGCTGTTGTTGTTGCTCTACTTTCTGAGGTAAAATTGAAAATGTTTTTGAATTGCATGCAAAGACACTGTGGTTAAAAATTTTAGAAATATTTAAGGGAAGGGAGAGAAGTCTAATACTATATGCAAGTCGATCAGGAAACAAAGAAAACAAGTTTTATCTTTCTATATTCACCCAATTTTTACTATGCCGATCATATTGCCTGACTGAGCGTAATGGAAGTGCAAGGATATAGCAACTGTGATTTTCTTATGACAGGGATATTGAATTTTAATTGCATCAAGAAGCAAGCTGCTCCATGATATTAATATCTTCTCTTTTCTTGCTGTTGATCTTGAACCAGCCAAAGCCAAGGATAGATTACACTCTAAAGGCTGTTGGTGGAAGCTTAACAGCTATTCCTGGCATATCTGATATGATTGATGTATGTTTTGTTCTTGATATATGCTGTTCATGTTCTTGTTTGATTTGGAGTTCTTGCTAATTTCCAATTATCTTTCTGATCCCACTTGGTAGGATACCGTCAATTCAATTGTCACTGATATGCTCCAGTGGCCTCATAGGATTGTTGTCCCACTTGGTGGTATACCTGTGGATACAAGGTAATTTTGACATTCAAGGCATTTGTCGTATATGCAATATTTTTTACTCCATATACTTTACAAGTTCAATATGGTTGAAAACTAACAGTTTTTCCTCATGGCCCTTTAATTGGGTTCTACATACTTCATCAGTAGATGCACAAATTTTTAAGACTTCAAGATTCAATTATTACAAATAGTTCAATTTAAGAATAGTTATATTCTTGTGTCTTGATAATTTCAACACTCCTAATTTCCTAATTTCTTATGCAGTGAACTGGAGCTTAAACCTCAGGGGAAACTTACTTTGACTGTTGTAAAAGCAAATGACTTGAAGAACATGGAAATGATTGGAAAATCTGATCCTTACGTTGTGGTTCATATTCGGCCATTGTTCAAGGTCAAGACGAAGGTGGTTGAAAACAACCTGAATCCCATCTGGAATCAAACATTTGATCTAATTGTAGAGGACAAGGAGACCCAATCACTTATTCTCGAGGTTCTAATTTGCTTATACTGTAATTATTTTTGGTTATGCTGCACCTTATTGTGAATATGGCACTTCCACACTAGCCATGGAAAACTCAGAGTTTATGAATTATAGCAATTTGGCATAATAACCCTGCCGTATGTTTGGTTCTCATTTTTCAAAAATGATGCTTGGACAATTATAGTTAAAAGGGGGATTTAAGACAATTTTCTGTAACTAGTGCCAGAAATTTGTGATGATGAATTTACTTTTAACTTCTGCCAGATGGAATCTTCATTCTGGTGCTGCACAAATATGGAACATGATACTGACAATGGTATTGGCGTCAGATTTGTACCCAACACTTGTTATGCATGTTGAACATTAGATCATCTATAACTAGATTTTGTGATATATGAATGATAATATGAACATAACATGAAAATTCTTAGGCTAGAAATTCAACTTTTTGTGCTAAGTTGCTGTCTTTGTTTTTTTAAGTACGCTATTTTCTTAGCTTCCTGATAAGCTTATTTTAATTTTATTATTGTTGTCTCAATATCAAACAAATCCAAGAACCTATGTTCAACTTTGGACTTTTTTTTTATCCATCCCTGTATCTTTGAATATTGTCGGGTGTTTATATATTAATGGTTTAGCACCTTTGGAGGTTAACAACAAATTTAACTGTAAAATTTATGCCAAGTCTTAGGATTCCAATTAGTTCAATTAAGCTTTTATTTTAAACCATCAATTAAACTTTATAGATATACCTTTCTAAATATTACATATCTCTGAGTTTACTTCCCTTAACCCTCAGGTATTTTGCATGACATGTTAGATGGCATATCTGTATGTGAAGCTAAGCTGCAACATTCCAATTTCCAAGTCTGAAGCCAGCATGTTCTTGTTTTTTATTCTTGTTTTACAGGATTGATTGTATTAACCAGGGCATTATTCTTTAAACAGGTTTTTGATCAGGACATTGGTCAAGATAAGAGGTTGGGAATAGCAAAATTGCCTTTGATTGATCTAGAGTCCGAGGCTACAAAGGAGATTGATTTGAGACTGCTATCATCACTTGATACATTGAAGGTAAAAGATAAGAAGGACAGAGGAACTTTAACAATCAAGGTAGGTGCTTCATTGCTTTATTTTTTCTTTCAATTATGATTATTTAATACAGGATATCGGGCTTTAATAATTGCTGTTAGTTTTCTTGATAATTGAGTCATTATTTTCTATTGTTGATCGCATACTTTTTGTCCTTGTAATGTCATGTTTCCTATTTATTTTTATGTCAAATATAGTTCCCAAATAATTCTACTTAACCATCTCTGATACCTCCGGTGCCTTTTCAAAATTTTTTATCCTTGTTATTCTTACTTAATCTATTGTATTGGCTGATTATGAAGTTATGTTTTGATTGTATGTTCAGGCACTGTACCATGAATTTAACAAGGAGGAGCAGTTGGCAGCTTTAGAAGAAGAGAAGAGGATTCTTGAGGAAAGAAAGAAACTAAAGGAGGCAGGAGTCATTGGAAGCACAATGGATGCACTTGATGGAGCTGTTGGAATGGTGGGAAGTGGTATTGCTGGTGGAGTTGGGCTTGTGGGAACTGGAATTGGTGCTGGAGTTGGGCTTGTTGGATCTGGTATCAACTCTGGAGTAGGAATTGTGGGGAGTGGGCTCGGAGCTGTTGGCAGCAGCTTGAGCAAAGCCGGGAAATTCATGGGCAGGACCATAACCGGTCATTCCAGTAAAAACAGCGGGTCTTCAACTCCAGTCAACAGTGTCCAAGAAAATGGCGGTGCAAAGCCACTTTAGCTTGTTTTTTATTGTGTGAATTCTGTCTTTTGTTTGTAGTCACTCTTTCAACTTTTATTCAACATTGTCCTCTCAATTCCTTTCTCTAGCATGCTCAAATAGTTAAAATTTGGTGTCAGAAAATTTGGCAGTTCAAGATGTTGGGTTCCTGTACCATTTGTGCTTTGTAATAACAACTTTAATAGATGTACAAAGTCCATAGTTGATATTTTGTTAATTCTGATTCTGTCAGAGAAACAGCTGCTATGAATTTCAGAAACCCATCTGGGTCATTTAGTTAACTTCTGGATCATTAAGTAAATTCCGGGACAAGAAAACTTTGATCAGAACTTATTATCATTATGTTGAAAGGCTATTACATTAATGAATGAGAAACTCCTTCTAATAAAAATAAATTCAATTAACTAAGTTATACAACGAAAAAAAAATTCTAATTAAGAAATACTAAACAATAAGCATCCTAACAAGTGACTTCAACTGCAAATTTATTGACTGGTGCATCCACACAACTGGGCGATCCAAACCAGTCCTGAGAAACTTGAAGAGAGCAAGACTCCTTTCCAACACATTGAGATTCAACAATGGCGACACCATCTGTAACACTGTCACAACTAGCCTTCTCAAATGCTCCACAAACACCTTGTGGATTCCCGAAACTTGCAAACCGAACTCCAGAAATCGGTCGACCGTGACATGACAACCCAACCGTGTTACCTTCAGACACAGTACCACAAGCTGACCCGACCACGACGGTCTGAAAATTTACTAGCCAAGGATTCCCACTAAATTCTTCGAATAAGACAATTGTATTCACATCTTTGTCGAGGAACGAGCGAGGTACGTGGTAATATCTTTGAGTTGGTTGACCGCAATTAGATGCACACTTGTCTCCATCGTACGAACCACGGTAATCACAAACATCATTGCTGCAACCTTCTTCGTCCGCAATGAAGCTTGGCCAGTATCGGCCAATGCTGTGTCCATTGATCCAAGCTTCGCCTTTGCCCAGTCCTTGTAAATCTACAACTACTGGGTCTGTTCCCAGAGGAGCTTTAAAGCTAGCCTGATGATGATACATCATATATGTATATATATATATATGAGGAGAAAAATAACAAAATGATATAAAATAATTTTATGTATTATGTATTATTACCTTGTACCAAGTCATATTTCTATTGACAGGAACATTTTGTGATGACCATTTGACATTTTTACAATCTGGGTTGAAAATTTCATTGTTCATGCCATTCAAACCAATCTTGTAACTCCACTTGTTAGAAGACAAATCTTTGATAATTGTTTCATCTCCCTTGCGACCAACAATTTCAACAGGCCCAGGCACACCAGCTTGTGTCAAATCGAACATTGGACCATAATTCTATACTCGTAATTAAACGAATTAGTTAGTTTAATTTTGAAAATTATAAAATTAATAGTAATTAGTGTTTGGTACCTGAAAACCAACAGTGGCACTAAGGAGGGCGATCTTATTAAGTCCAGGAGATAATTTAACTTCCTTTTCAAACACATAGTTGAATACATTATATTTGCCCCATTGAGAACCTGCAAAATCAAAGTAAATTAATTCAACGAATACATAATTTTTTTTAATTCTATGTATCAAGAAATCTAATAATGTCCCAAAAGTTGATAATTTACTTACCAAGATATTTTCCATTAACGTAGGCATGAAGAATTTGGCCACTGCCATTGACGCGGAGTGTCATGTTGTCACTCCAAACCGGATCATCTTTCCCAAGTTTTACACTGTTTAAAATAATTTAAAGAATAATTACGCATACTAAAGTTATGTGAAACTATAGATTTGGCAAGAAAATAAAAATACACACACCTTGTCATATACCACAAATAGTCACTGGTATCATTAGCCATTTCTTTTTGATCGACAATTTGTTGAGCAACAACTTGACCCTTGCCTCGAACAATAGTATCATGAGTCATCTCGGACCTCCACATCCATTCAAGACTACTTGGATACGCTTCATTAGGTTTCTTAACCATCACAGATGTTTGAACATTCACCTGAAATACATGTAATTTAATTACTTATTTTTACAAAAATTATATATTTTAAAAGTACAAGTAATTTAAAGAAAATTACCTTTGCGGTATTGAAGGCTACGGTCTTGCAGTCAGGAAGAATGCTAACAGACCATGCAGGAACAACATAATCAACATCTCGGAAGTTGACTGTTGCATCGCTGCTCTCATTTGCATTTCCCAGAAAGCAACTCGAGGCTTCTTCGGTGGCATAAGTAGTGGCCTGTAAATTTTTATATCTTATAAGTAATTACAATTCTTTTGGAGAAATTTTTTTTAAAACGAAAAAAAAAAAACTTACAGTGACAGAGGATCCGAAATCCAAAGTGGAGATATTTCCATAAGTCAAAGTTTTCTCCATTGACTTCAACACAGAATGAAGTTGCTTCAAGTGGCCCCACTTGGGTTGGTTCAAGTTACCTATTGGCAACATAATTAAGTTAAAAGACAGAAAATTACCGTATTCATCAGACAGTAAAAGAAAAGAAAATTACCGTATTCATCAAGAGGTGCATTGTAATCGTATGAAGTAGTGATGTACGGACCGCCAGCAGTTCTACCGAAATTGGTACCACCGTGATACTAAAAGAATAATTAAAAATAAAAATATTTAATATTAAGCTTATAGTTTGAAATAAATAAGTAAATTTATTTTTATAAATCCAATTACCATGTAGTAATTTTGGAAGGTTCCACCGGTTTGGAAAAATCTTGCAACAGAATAGGCAAGATCCTCAGCAGTTCTAAATGGGTCTTTCCCGCCCCAGCTTTTAAACCTGATAAAATACCCATAATTTTGATTAATTAATTAATTAATCAGAAATCTTGTATAATTAACGAGATTATATATATATTTTTTTTTTAATAAAAAAAACTCACCAGCCTGTCCAGTTTTCTGTCCACATTTTAGGGCTGGTGGGATTCTTTGGAGTGTATGAATCACAATAAAAGCCATTGCATGTCTCTATCTGTTGATTAATAATCAAATTAGAAATTTATAATCATTAATAATTTTATAAGTAAACATATATACATACATATATAATAGAGGAAGAAATTACCATAGGCTCCGGAGCATCGGTTTGTTGGCACATTAACCATGGAACTCCAATGTGAAGGGAGTCAGCCATATTTGCACACCAGTCAATGTAAACTTTGCCAGCATCTCCATAAGAAGACATCACATTCCCATATTCATTCTCAATCTGAAAACAAATTATTAATATTATCATTAAGCAGTTTTTTATACTCACAAAAAAAGTTTGAATGATAAAAAAAATTTGTAAACATATATAAATATAGCGTACATATATATATATATATATATATATATACCTGGGCTAAAATAACGGGTCCTCCTTGTGATGCAAACAACTTCTCTTTTTTAAGCATATCAACTATCAAAGTTGTAAAATTCTGCATCTCATTCTGAAAATATTGCATTAAATAAAGAATTAGAGACAATTAATGAATAATAAAAGTATAAGATACAAGTAAAGCAAGTGATGAGATGATGAGTTTACCATGTACACATTGTTTGCTGTTCGAAACTGAATTCCAGGCATGTTGTGCAACCAAACAGGAAACCCTCTGTTGATAACCGAAAACAAATATCCCAGATTACACCATACGTACGTACAGTAAAATAAACTAGCTAAGGTTTAAAGAAGATACCCATAATTCCATTCAGCACAAACATAAGGACCAATCCGGACAACTGAATAAAGTCCTTCTTGTTGAATCGTTTTGATAAATCTCACTAAATCAAGATCGCCATCGAAGTTATATTGACGGCGCTGGGGTTCATGGACATTCCAGAACACGTATGTCTCGATAGCATCGAGTCCGCCTTCTTTTGCTTTCTTTATCAAATCTGGCCACATCTGCAAATACAATTTAAATTACATACGTTAAGTTTATTTACGTTATGATCAATTAAAACAAATAAAAATAAAATACCAATTACCTGTGCAGTGCTTCTTGGATAGTGAATCGACCCAGATAATAAAATTTTACGTCGACCGTCGATCGTGATGGCTCTTCCATCGTGAGCAACTTGAATGCCGTTAACACAAACAATGGAAAAAAGAAGAATCAAACATAAAGTTTTGAGAAGCGACATCTTTTGCTGCGTTGATAAAAAGCTATTGTTCTTATGGTAATAGTGCCCTAAAACCCTCGTTATTTATAGAAATAATTCTAAAGAAATCGAGATAAAAACGAATTTAACTTCTTAAAAATTCAAATCCGACTTGATATCTTCTCAACTACATTATACTTATCAGAGTCGGATTACAGTTCATCTTAATATTTTTTTTTCCAAAGTTTTTCTTTTTTTTTCGAAAAGATAATTACTCTAATTAGAGTTTATCTATCAACCAACTTACTTCGCACATATTAATGGGTAAAAAAGGTAACTACATTCAAACTGAATATTCTTGCACTTAATGGGTATCTTACGCAGGGTTTGAACTCCTTTCTTTGAGTGTCACTGAACGAATCCGATAATCGCTGCCGTGCAACCCTTCTTCTAATGACTCTTAACTAAGAAACCCCGAACTATATCCAGCTCGAGGATGAAATTCTTTAGTAACTTTAACTAAGAAAAGGAAAGGAGTGGAATGCCCTCTTAAGGCCTTCTTTTTCTCTATTTCCTCTTTGAGTAGGCGCTGCAGAAGGAGTCCTTTCATTCTTAAAGCAGAAAAGACGTATATCATCATGACCCTTTTCTCCTTTCCTTTCTCTGTGTCCGGTCTGTTGTGCGTTTTTCTTTCTTCAAGGCTTACCGGGAGCTCAGGGGCATCAAATTGTACCCAATGAATTTTATCTAAAAATTTTATTGATTATATATATATATTTAAAAAAAAAAAAGCCAAAATAGAGCGGCAGGCCTTGTGACCTAAGTCACCATTTTCTTGTTTTTTATTATTTAATCTCTTCTTCTTATTTTCCAAAACTATAATAAAGAAAAAATCTAATATATATATATATTTTTTTAAAAAGTTAGGATAAAAAATTAAAGTAAACTCTTATAATATAATATAATTAAGAAGATATTAAATAAAATTTAAGTTATTAAGAAATTAAAATTTAATATTATATCTATTTTTTAAAAAAATTATTTCTGTAAATAAAAAATATTTTAGATCACCGTACCCGTAATCAATATAGCTTAAGAATGTAGAAAAAGTCATGTATGCAAAAGTCACAGAATTAT